AAGAAGAAGAAGAAGAAGAAGAAGAAAAGAAGAAGAAGAAGAAGAAGAAGAAGAAGAAGAAGAAGGAGAAGGAGAATAGAAAATGAGCGTAGTTTTGAGCATTTAAAAAACAGAACAACCTACGATATTGTGATTTCCCTCTCCTCCCTCCATCACTTCAAGAAAATAGACTTTGATATTGGGCAAATGTAGCTATAACTCAAAAATGCTACACCTCGCTACGCGTAAGTATTGCGTTTGTTACAACGCGAGAGGATGCGGATGGAACGTGAGATCCGGCTGACCTACATTCGGGGTTGCGGATTTTTCATCCACAAGTTCTTCACCCACAAGGGGACCATCCCAGCCGGGACAGACTCTGTGCTCCCGACTGATCTCATGAAATATGTAGTAGTGCAGTGCATTTTAGTGTGTGTGTGTGTGTGTGTGTGTGTGTGTGTGTGTGTGTAAGGGGAAAGGAGGGGCAGGGAGGAAGAAGGAAAGATCGCGCGGGATCCTGACTCTTTGTTAAGGCAGTCCTTTGGAATTCGCCTGCTTTCGACTGGAGAAACCACGGAAAACTACCGAACAGAGAAACCGGAAGCTAGACTTTTTCTGCCGGCAGTGAATTCGACTTAGCAATGTAGCTAGTCTAAAATACACCATCCTTGGGCTCGAACCCTAGGACTTCCCAGTAAACGATGCTGTAGAGACAGTGCTAACGCCAGTGCTGCTGTTAAGATCTCCAGTCGATGGATCCTGTGTTTGCGCGTTCCTCTAGCTCGTTTCTTTTCCCTTATGTCACTAGTGACTCCACTGGGTGAAATGCCCTTCTAAGGGAATTTCACCTATTTCACTTGGTTGCGCCCAAATTTACCGCAAGTAAATATGTTCCTGTCAATCTTTGTGTTCACCTGCCGCAAAAAGAGGGCAATCAGACCACCAAGGACCCAAATTCATTTATTACAACACATATGACACTTTTTTTTGGTTTTGATGTATTTTTTCCGTAACAATATTAACTAAATGGAATCACTTACCAACCTCAGTATACTCCACAGTAAAAGTTAACAAACTCAATTTTCCATCATTTTAATGGTATCTTGTAGAATGACATGAATATTTTTATAACCATAGATATGTAGAAATGCGTTCAGTTGAAGCACATGTATTCCTTAAGCTAATATTTTTCTTTTAACCTTGATATTCAGAGGCTACTTGTCAATGTCCCCAATGCTTCACGCTTTCCAAGCACCTGCTGATGTGACGTCATTCAGGCTTTTTTATGAGGAAGGAATATCTCCGCCATCTTACGGAAGATTCTGTTAGTGCTCTGTGCCTGCTAGCGGGAATTCGTTGTTTGTTTGTGTGCTCCTAGTGAAATTTAAGTGGGGTGTTGTGAATATATCTCTCGAAAAATGGGATGTCTTATGTCAGAGGTGATTGCAATGGATTGTTTTGTTTTGTGCTGAGTGACTAGTACATGTTTTCAGTCGTATGTATATATGTAAATCGCTTTTGTATTAACAATTATGATGTGTGTGAAAATAATTGTTAGATTGTCACTGCCAAATTTGAAAGTTTACAGTAAAAAAAGATAATCGATACAGTCGGAACGGGTCAATATTGACTTGTTGTTTTGTTTTTATTTAAAACCGCGGTAGTTTGAAGTACAGTCACGTGCAGTTATTTTGCAACAAATTGGAAGCGTGCAAGCGGCATGTGTGATGCCGGGCGAAACGAAATTATGGGGCAAGGACCTGACTTAGCAACATGAATGTATTTATTTGTACAATTGCCGTCTACGTGTGTTAGTGAAATGTTACTGCCGCAAGATTTGAAGAACATTTTAAAGATTAGATATCAAATGTCACGTAATGTCTATGGCAGTAGACTAGATAAAATGCAATCATTAATGTGCAGGAAACATGTAAACTATACGGCTATACATGAGTTTTGCGATTTATTGATATGTTTCTCTTGACAAAATCTCTGTAAAACGAAGTTTAGAGAGTTCAAATGTAAGTTAAAAAGTGAGGTTATATTGAAAACTTGGCTGAACTTCACCTTAGCTTGGTTACTGTGTTCGCGGATGTTGCGGGAAGGGTTGGAAGACCTCATGTGATTTTTGACACAAAAATTAGATGGAAATTATGCGTTACAGACTTATTTTGTGTAAATCGCGGAGGCTGAGGATCAGTGCCGAACAGTGCCTCGCTGTTGAAACAGCACAAACGCAGTGAGTCCACTTGGGCGTAAAAATGTTTAGGGACAAAATTTTTTGGGAAATTTGCAAGTTCCAGTATCAAGGTTGTTTTGGGGTTACCTTCCATTGTTTCCATGTCACAAAATATAAAGCATCCTCAGGCTGATGCCCATGCTGAAAGACACCTAAAAATTTGTTGTTTGATCATTAATGTTAATGGTTTGCCTCTGAAAATGTAAATTATATATATTTATTTACTTACTATAACTTTCTCCAAGTCGTCGCGAGTAAACATTTATTTTTCAATTTTCTACTATTTTACTTTGCTGCATTAGCTTTTTTATTTCATTATATCATTAGATTAAATTAATAACTTTTATTTTTTTCCCCCTACTTTGTAATTTGGGAGTAAACTTTTCAACTTATTTGTAAACTTTTATTATTAATACTGTTATTATTATTTTGTAGGGTGTTTGTCCCACTGTATATTATCCTTCGCACAGCTCAGATAAAGGCATAAATAATAAATTCATGTTTACTGTTTTTCTTGTCTGCTTTATATTTTATTTATAATTGTTTTTCAATACTATATTGTATTTTTGTGTAGACAATATTCCTTTATTGGACTCAAGAATATTACGAGTTACTGTCAAAACATTGGCAGATATAATAAAATAACTCCAGATATAACCAAGTTTGATTTTTTTTTAAACTAAATGATTGGGATTCCCGAGATTATTCCTTCAATCGTTGCTGTGACCTGTCAGTATGACAGTATATTTAATGATGTATTTTAAGTAATTTTGAATGTATATAACCCATGAAATTTGGTACATTTAGCTGAACTGATATTTCCTTTATGTGTCTGAAGATCATTATGTTTTTTGTTATAAGGATCGTCAAAAGATATTATTTTCAAATTAACTCTGTGTATACGATTATTTGGTTACACGAGAACAAATTGCTACGGCACTGTAATGCTATCTAAAGAAGCTTTTATTAGATGTTTCTGTGCTTTCAATTTAAATACATTAGCGTCATTTGAAACAAGAACTGTTTAATGATTACCCATAGCTAATGGCAAATTGTTGTATAATAGGGATAATGCAATAGAGAACTATACTCAACACCTTTCTTCATTAACTAAGGTTCTGATTTATGATGTTTTAGAATTTTACTTTTATAAAAAGGTATTTCTACAGTCTGTGATTATAGTTTCATTAGTGACAATATATCCACACCACTTCCTTGCTGTCAGCATTTGTATTTTATAGATCAATAAAAGATAATAATTGTGATTAATTTTTTTATTATTTATTCAATAGGACTTCTTGTGCAAATATTAGTAATGAAAATTATTTTTGACTGTTATTGTGAACTTTTGTTTTTTTCTTTCATTTTTTGGGTGTTGTAGTAGTGCTAATGCAAAGTTAGAAATTAAAGAACCAAAATTTTTTGCCATTGGTTCTTGCTGCCCATTAAACTACAGTGTAACAATGTAAAACTATGTTTGCGACAATAGATCAAGACCCCATAAAATGTACATACATTTTCATTCCAGGCATACTTGAAGAATTTCTTCATACAGTCTAAATTATGATCGGTATCTTAATTTCGCAACTTTTAAAATATATCTGAAGAGAAAGAAACCACATTGGCGAGGAAAAAAGTTAGTTTTTTGCAGTATGTAACGAGTTTCTTCTTCAGAAAGAATGCGCTCGTGTGATATGTTGGAATCGTTGCAGGTAATTAATAATTTCTTGGCCAGGACCATTCATGAATTTTATTATAAGGACAAATCTTATCACAAACACGGAATCACATTTCTCACTCTGTATCTTGCCTAAATTGCCTTTTCTATCTGCACTTACAAGCTGCTTCATTGTCCCCAAAAATAATGTACTTGTAAAATTATTAACTGAGCTTTTATTTAATGGTAATGGTAAAATTAAGAAGCCGGTACTAGTCTCATAAAAGTACCCAGTAAAATCCCCAATACCATCCAGTCTAGTAGAGAAACATGTCAAAGAAAATTGATATATCTCGAAAATACTTGAAATGTATGCAGAAATATGGTATTCTGGGTTTTTGTGCTTGTTCATTCTCCAATCAGATAATTAATAGCAAGTGACGTAAGCATGCCACCATCTTTTCTAAACTTTATGATATCTATTATAGACAGTCAGTTCATTATATATTTTTTTACTACATGACACAAAGTTTCTCAGACTGACTTCAACAGGTACAACTAAAATGGTAACAATAAATAAATAGTAACAATGAAATTGTATAGATACATTTAGTATAAATTAAATTGTACAAGACAGGAATGAGCAGAAATTCGGACTTGCCCTATCTTAATTTATTATAAACCTTTTTCCTGCTCAAATCAGCATTGAGAATGTTTTAATTTCATTAATATTGTACTATAAGCATAACTAAGTAAATTGGGTTTGACATAATTTTAGTGATCATGAAATAATGTAAATAAAAATCTCTGAATTTTTGAAAATTCCAAATGCAATTAAAACACCTAGTTTTTTCCGCCACTTGGTGTGATGTTATGCTTTGCTATTGTGACTCAAATGAGGCTTATATTAAACATATCTAAGGTAACTGCACCAATAATTTGCCCATTAACAGAAACTTGAAGCTAAATGGAGTTTTCTCATCCCTGTTTGAAGCCAAAGATCCGAATAGCTAATATATGCTTACTGTGTGTATCTAACCCAATATAGTTCAGAAATACAGACATCCACATACCTTATCTTCGTAAAAAAAAACACACACACACACATTGTGCCTCTTTTGTGGTCACTGTTACCTTGTCACCTTTAGTGGATTGGATGGATCTGTTAAGTCTGGAGAGATCCTCGTGTTAGTCTGTCCATCCTGTATATCTTTCTTTGAATCACAGTGGTGTGGTGCCATACACATGATTTTTTTTCAAAACTGAAAATATGTTTGATTTGGCAGAACTTGAAGGCCTGTCAGTTTGACAGGAATCTTTGTTGTAAAGGAATATGAAATTCTTATCATGTTTTCGTAATTTTCTCAAATTCAGCTCCAAATTTTTCTTTAAATTTCTTGTTCAAACACTGGGCAGGTCATCTGAAATTGTGGATACAGTCTGATTTTATTAAAACCTCTGAATCTTGGAAAATTGAGGAAGTTTAACTCGGTCAAAAATATAATTATCGGCGTACTATTGAAGTAAATGCTCACTCATTGGCAGGCTTTGGTTCCCATGAGAACATAAAACACGAGCCTCTATACCTTTTTTTCTGCCTGTGTATGGTGGGAGAATGACATTCACTCTTGTATTTCAGGAGGCAAGCCTAGCCCTTCTTGTGTATGAAAATTTCTTTAAAAATCTGAAATATGACAAATATAAACATATCATAGAAATATACCCTCTTTGAAAAGTTGTGAAATATGCCCTCATGAAGAATTGTATTTTAATTTGATTTTTCATGTCATACATTTCTTTATATATAAACATATACTTACTAAATGTGTGTGCCGAAAGATTGTCACCACACCACGTTTATAGTAATTGGATGCCATTGGGAAACTAATTTAAAGGGGGGGGGGGAATAAAACATAAAAATGTGTATCTGCTAAAAGAAAATATTACTATGTGAAATCCTTGCCCTACATGATCTTTGATCTTAGGTCTAATAGCTTTTTGAATGTGAGTTAGATACATGGTTTTTTTGGTTTAGTTCTATGTAATAATTCTTGTGTATTGCAACAGACAGGTGGAGGCATTACTACAATCCGTATTCCTATTCTGGGTTTTGACACCGTCTTGGATGATCCTTGTTACACATCATCATTGAATTTTCCAGTATCTGTTGAAACACTTGAGGTGAGGATTGTGTCATTTTAACTTTTTTGTTTATTAGTTTTTTTAAAGTAGAATTTCAGTATTTTGAGATTTTTAATTTGAATAAGTTAGAGTGAAAGTGATTTTTTTGCCTTTAATCTGTATCTCGTGTTTCAGTGCATGACCTCAACAGAGCACTTTGTAATGCTAAATATATTTTTATAAAATATTATATAATTAATATTAGCAATGTTTGAAAAGTTTTCAATTTTCAAAGAAAACATGTGACAATTATGAATTTTGTAATTAAAAAAAACTGAAATTTGCATGTACAAATTATTTGTTGGGATACATTGTGCTTTTGCCTCAGTTTGTAAATATTTAATGTAAAATCAGGTTAACTTCAAATTCTATGTAGTTGCTGTTTTTGTGTTGAGGTACTGAAGTGTAACCTAATTATGTGCGCCAAACAGAAGTGAAAATTAAGCATGTTTTGCGTGAACTCAGATGATTCTTTTTTGTTTTCCATTTCTTTTATTTCTTCGTAGGCGTGACCTTATTTCTCCTTATGGCTGCCTTAGATATAGCAAATGATGGCAGCTGTCATTTAGACGTCTGTGACATATAATGCATTTTGGAGTTTGACCAGATCATTGTCACATCATGACTCCTCTAATGATATCATCTGAAGTTCAGAATTATGCATTTTTAGTTGAGGTAAGAAGTCTTTTGAGTTTTGTTTGGATCTTCTAAATGCTACAGGTGTAATAGTATTGAAATTACTCTTACAGAGTAATTGAATATTTAGAATTACAACATTTTATGCCTCAAATTGCTTGAAGTACTTTATAATGTGAAAATTTATTTGAAAATTAATGTATAATTATTGTGTATGAAATAGTGATATAACTCACCTATACAGATTGTATGAGCCAAAACTGAAAAGGAAAGAATTCTACAAAATGTCTGTGAATGACGTATAGGAGGGGTAATAATTAATTCAAGTATCTACATTAATATAAAACCACTGGTGAAAGTATTAGAGAAAATAGAAAGGAGAAACCTGAGAAATTGAGAGGAAAAGTTAAGAAACTTTGCTAATATGAAAGGAATTTAAATTATAAATAATTAAAGTATATCCTAATGTAACCCAATAATAATATTTAAAACCATCATTTAGAAGTCTGGGGAGAAATAGACATGTGAGGAGTGGAACTTTGAATAGTTTGTGAATCTCTGCTTTAGGTCATGATATATACTGTTTTTGCTGTTTACCACATTCAATGAAATAAATGGAAATTTGATGGGATTTGTGAAATTATATTACGTCGGGAATTTTTAGTGGCTTTTATCGCAGTTAACGTGGGCACTTTTTTGTTGATATCGGCACTGAGTGACATGTTCAACCCATTTGCGTGATCCTGAAAGTAAAGAAAGCAGCCTTCAGTATTTGACATGTAGCAAGTAATGTTTTTTGAAGAGAAACATTATCTTCATCTGCCCAACAGTGCGTGCATTCACACATATCACAGATGCTGTAGTTGTTTTTCTTTCATTGATTAAAAATTAAGATGACCATCCTTTCACTGCTACTTCTTTTTACTTTCTCACCTTACTTACTCCCGGCATGCGTGGTAATGTAGTGCATGTTAGTGTAAGTGGTGAGAATAGGACAAGGAAGAGGAAGGTGAGATCGTGCGCAGTCCGTGGCCCATTTGTTGGTACTGCTCCTGCATTCGCCTGGTATTGGTCGGAGAAACTACGGAAAATTACCGATCAGAACTCCGCTAGAATTCTCCTCCAGACAGCGATTGAATTTGACCGAGCTAACAAGCTAGTGTCGAAAATCCTGCCACCGTCGGGACTCTCCATTAAATCAGTATGTTTTAATTCAAGCTGTTTGTGACAGTTTGAGGAAATTAAATCACAAATAGAGACAACCCAGTTAGTTTCAGTTATGATAGACGAGTCCCCAGACGTTACGAACAAATGTCTGTTATCTGTTCTGCGTTATATTCATAACAACAGTGGTGTTATAGATTCTTGGGGATTTGTGATGTCAGTTCTTATCGAAGCGCAGTTCTAACGAGAGTTGTTGTTAACATTCTCGACAGGTTTCAGCGCAGAAACAAATTGATTCTCAGACATATGACGGGGCTGCAGTTGTAGCGGGGCAATTGAATGGTGTGCAGTCAAGAGTGAAAGAAATTGTTCCAGAGGAAACATTTATTCATTGTTATGCAGAAAAGTTGAACTTAGTGTTTTCTCAGTCTGTGTCATTTATTGGCGAATGTCGTCTATTTTTTGCGACACTGAACGGATTTGTGACCATCTTCACTTCTTCAAAAATAACTAATTTTTTGGACAAATTTCTCCACAAACGATTCCAATGCCTTGCCCCTACAAGGTGGAATTACTCTAATCAAGTGGTTCAAACAATAGCCAAATACCGGGATCATCTTCAAGAAAAACTTAAAGCTAATCTGGAATCATGTGCCGAGTTTGATAATGTGGTTCTAATGAACAGATGTCTTCCTGTCAGAGTTATGACTTAAAATTTATTTTTTTGCTGAATTTCTTTAGACATTTTCTCCCACAGAAACTGTTTTCAACATACTACAATCTAAGTATTTAGATATTGCGTACTGTGCGAAATAAATTCAAAATGTAAATAATATTTTAATCTTCTTCCAGAAAATTTGGGAAGAAACTGAGGTGTCACGTGACCCTCCGCGCAAGAGAGAGAGAGACTGGGAGATGATTTACGAGTACAGGAAGGGGACTATTTTGAAGTATTTGACACTATAATTTTACAACTTAAATCGCGTTTTGATTCTTTGGCAGATTTTAGACTTTTAGATTTTTTGGGACTTCTCGATTGCGTAAATTTTCCTGCGTATTCACGAAATTTTCCAGAAAAGCAACTTTAGCAATTAGAGAAAATTTATTATAAATATTTCGATTTCGTGAAACTTAAAACTGAGCTTAAGGAAGTTTATGCTTCTGAACATTCCGTGGGAAAGAAATTCACGAGTTTCGTATCTCAAATGGACTAAACAGGGAACTAAATCAAGTTCATAAGTTCTGCGAATAGGTAAGAACAAGCCCTGCAACAGCATCATCTGTCGAAAGATTTTAGCTTTGAAGCGAATAAAACCTTTCAGAGAAACTCTCAATGCGAGGGACGTCGTACCGCACTTGCAATGGTATCGATTGAGAAGGATTTTCTTGACAAAATAAAAACTGACTACAGCTTTTTCGAGAAGGTGAGGTAGAAATTCTATAAGAAGAATAGGAGATTGGAGTTTACTTTCAAGTACCGGTTAAATGTAACAATCACTTTATTATTATTATTATTATTATTATTATTATTACTATTATTATTACTATTATTATTACTATTATTATTATTACTATTACTATTATTATTATTGACATTCCTCTAATTCACGACTAAAGATATTATCAGTCAGTTGATTACAAAGGACACTTCGGGTTGACATCAGCTTCCTAAGGAGCAGATTTAGGGACTGTTGGTGTCTCTACAAAACATTGCGCAAAGTTGGGACTTTTATTATTTAATGTTATCTGTGATCACCCTATAACGTTAAGAGGAGAAGCGTAATAACAAAAACAATTAATAATGTGCCAATTTGCATTATTGCACTTTTACATCGAAATTCAGGATACTCCACTGCAAGACCTCTTTGCAACGAAATTTTCTGAGGGGTCTGTTTCCTCCCAGACGATCTCTTCCGAGCAAGGCGCGATCTCTTCCGAGTTAAAAGAAGACCTGCTTGAAACCTTTAAAAATAAATGGTATTGTCACATACCTCTTCACAGCAACATTGGCAAAAGATAATTGGTCCATCAGTTGAAAAATCCGTGTCGTCTTTTATCCATTGCTTATATAAAGTTGATGTATGAGTTTTGTTCTTCGGCATACTACTTACATAAGAAATGGAAAGAACTCTCAAACTAGCGTCGTGCCGTCCCGCGAGATTTTAGACGACTGTACTTCGATTTTTTAGTGGCCGATGACATTATGTCATTGTTACATCTCCTGCCTTATAAAATGAATCTTTTTAACAGTGGTAAACACATTTCTGTGGTCACGATCCACGTTGAGAAGGACGTTCGCGGCGCGTGCTCCACGATTGTAATCATGGGCGGAAGAAGAGAGGGAGCAAACTCCATGAGAAAACGGCGAATTGAACAAAGCAAACGTGTTAGGATTTGAGGCAATTCTTAATTTATACCAACTTTTTAATGAAAATTTGCTTTTGGGCTGGGCAATTAATACTTCACATCTACATTGTTACGTAGCGCGAGTTAAAGTTACGGTTGTCAAAACCATACAATCAAATGGAAAACATGTTCTCGAAACACAAAAATAGGCATTTATCCCACAATAGGCATTCGTTTCCGAAGTAGCCACCATAAAAGTCTATTATATGAATGCACTGATAATGAAATGAATTAATATATCGACAGCCCATGATTATGAGCAAAAGAATTAAAAAGGAGAGAATTCCTCTCTTTAGTTATCGGATCATTGCTCTCCAAGCCTCAAGGTATCTGATTTCTATCTATTAGATCTTGAAATCTGCCTTCCTTCATCTACAAAAAAAAAACAACAACATCCCCCTTGGAATTTATGCCCTGATATTGATCTCAGACTCTCCAACCTTTCTTCTCTCTTCTTTACTCTTGTATACCAGATCCAGTTTCATGATATGATAGCATACTTCAACATATATTCATATACACTGATGACTTCATCTTTCAATGGTGCATTAGCATTGCAGTTTTCGTTGTATTAGGTTTACCAAATCATTTCAAATTCACTCTTTGTGCAGTATATTTACTGCGGAGTTGTAGGCTATTCTTAAAGCCCTTAAATATATCAAATTAGCATCATTATGGTGAGTAGATTTCTGTTTTGATTCTCTTGGATCTCTTCAAGCCATCTCCCTTTCTCCTTCAGACTCCATAATAACAATACAGTACCTCATTCATGATAAATTATCTCACAGCTATGATCTAGTTATTTGTTGGATTCCAAGCCATGTGTGACTTGTAGACAATGAGTTAGCAAAATCAGCAACTGGGAAGTCTGGCATTAACGTTCCGTGTCCCATCAGAGGATTTAAAGGCATTTCTAAAACTCTCCAATGGCAGTAGACAGTGCATGGCAGATAGAGCACAACATCAATTTTAGGGCAATTATGGTTTCTGTAAAGTCCCAGTCTTCCTCTTTTTGATTTGCTAGATGTGAAGAAGTAATTGTAATGTGTCTTCGCATTGACCTTTACCACTCTTCGCATGGTTTCCTCTTGCAAGGTGAACTTCCCCCATCTGCAATACATGTAAGACAGACCTTTCCATGGAACATTTTACATTGCGCTTATGTAGAATGCTTATGTTGTATTCTACATCGTATAAAGTTTAATGGCAGCCAATGCAGACACTGCCTGGGCACCGCTCTTAGGGAGGTGCTCATCAATGATAAGTCTGTTCTGTCAAACCTTTTTTCCTTTCTTCAGGGAAAGTGGGTTTTACCATTTGGTTTGAGAGAAAAGGGAAATTGTTTTTCTGTATGTTACTTGGCCTCTATACTGCCAATTTTAAATCTTTTATTATTTATATTTTTACAAAATCTGCCTGTCTCTTATAGCCTAATCTGCCTTTTAGTCTTAATATTAAATTATATATATGGTTTTATTCAACATGATAGTTGCATCTGCAATGCCTTGATTGCTTTTATAATCCATATTACGGTTTTAAATTATGACATGGTGCCAATGACTATAGCTATTGAAGCACTCTTTCAACCTCAAGCAATTAGTTACAGTGCACAAAACAAGTCAAAATTGTATTTAGCATATTACAGCACCAAACTCAATGAGCAAAGTACTGACTATACAACAAAACTACAATACCAATTTCTTCAGTATATTAAAGAAGCAAGATACTTTAAAATAATAGTTTACAATTTCCTGCTGGACAGTAGGTTTATTTTGTAAAAGACCCTGTCAGCACAAGCTCCGCTTAAAAATTCAGATATTTTCTTTGTATTATTGTTTATATTAGTGAATTTATGTTATGCTCTGATTTAAATGTAAGTTGAACTGAGAGCGATCTGCAGGGATGCATTTATCCAATTGGAAGCTTTGTTACTGTATATCTGTGTTGCAGATGATCAAAAGTCAATTTGCACTACATTTAAATCTGAGTATAGTTGTTTGTATTATTGTTCTTTACACTTCTGTAAATATTTAATAATTCTGTATTTCACTAGGAACAATTTGGGGTCTATAATAGGTAGTTTTGAAAATAGTCAACTCTGAGGTAATCAGTTTTTGGAAGATTGCGTTCTTAGACATCGATTTCAATTTTTAATTAAAAGCTTTTCATTAAGTTGTAAGAAACGGAAATTGACGAAATGCAAGATTAACCTAGGACCAATAACTAAATTATAGAAGAAAGTGGAGATTGCTGGGTTTGAAACTAGCCCTCTCATAAATGAAAATTTAAATACATTATGTTTTTTTATAAAACTTTATAATTGTGGATTAGTTTTTGGACCTTGTTATAGTTTGGGATGGATGTTAAAAAATGTTAGATTTAATGTAGTTATAAAAGTTGTTTTCTGTAGTAAATAGTATTTCTACTTAAAAAATTCAATAATTCATTTTTCTTCTTACTTTCTCGCTATAGAGTAGAGAGAAAGTTATGTAATGCTGTGCAAAAAAACAGCAAATTTTCCGTAGAAAAACTCTTATTACAGGGCCCTTGTAATGAAAAAAATGGATAAATCCAGTTGCTAAATTTAGAAGGAAAAAAAAATCTATTACGTGGTGTACCCAGAATCCTTGTTTTGTGGGTCCTTGATACCGAAAAATCGAACGATGGCAATACGTAGTTGCACATGGCTCCGAGTGATGTTGCTTACCTTTCACTAAGGAGGTCCGGTTTCGATTCCCGGACAACCACATGTGAAATTTGTTCCAACAAAACAAGTTCGGCTGCTTTATGAAAGCTTGTCCAACCCCTGTGAAGTGTCCTAAACTCTACCCTATGCTAATTCCTACTCAAGTATATCACTACAGATGTAACAGAGAATTACTCCATTTATATAAATATGTTCTAAAGCAAGTTCTTGGATTGTTGTGAACGTTATAACTGAAGTAGTGGCAGGATGTTAAAAAAAGTCCATCCATCAGTGAATAACGCTAGCGGCTAAACCATGCAGCATATTTTTTCCAAACTTGATCAATCGATCTGGCTGATGCCACTGCCCCTTGAATTTGAAACTGATATTTGAATTTTGGGGGTACCTTACGTGAAGCTCCTGGGACATTTTCAAATTTTTAAAAATAAATGGCTCTATTGTTTTTGATTAAATTTTGTTTTTGGATATTGTGAAGGACGTTTGAGAGAATGGGGCAGGTCTCATGTTCCTCCAATACCTTGATTTTTCAAAAATTGTTTAAGTTAAAATTTGTTTCAGAATCTTCCTACAACTAAAATATTAAAGATAGAGATTTTGTCCTTTATTGAAATTTATTTCTTGAAGATAGATTTTGAAATAAGGTCATGTACAATTTTCCAAAAATTTGAGTACTGTAATTTTGCGTGAAAATTCACGCTGTTAAAGAAAGTTACATGCTGTTTTAGTACTCAATGTTTTGGACAACAAAACTTTTTGTTGTCTAATTTGACTAATTTCATCCTCAGTGCATGTTGAGAGGCCTGGGTATGTGTGTGTGTGTGTGTGTGTGTGTGTGTTCTGTTATTGTATTGTATTAAAAATGTAGAGATATTTGTATTCAATACAACATATATTTGAAGTTACGTCTGTTCAAATGTTTGCATTGTGTGTGTGCATATGTGTACTTGCTAAACAATTGTATTTATAAAGTTTACATTTGTTAGTACTGGTTTTTTTTTTTTTTTTTTTTTTTTTTTTTTTTTTTTTTTTTTTTTTTTTTTTTTTTTTTTTTTTGAAATGACTTTTCCTATGTTATGTTGTGTCCAATTGGATACATACAAATTTTAATCTAGACACATAATGATGGTGTGGCTTTATTTGAACGGAAAATTGATACACTAAGCATGAAAAATACTATTTCTTTGTTAAGTCTCATCACATCTAGATACAAGCTGCAAAATATCAAATTCAAGTTTCTTCCACTAAATTCCTTTCAGTGTCTCAACCAAGGAATCATTAAAAATTTCAAGATGCCATACAAACAACTAGTATGAGGTGATGAAAACAATGCATTTCTCCAAATTGTAATTAAGTAACTCATTTATAGAAGACATTTCTGGGTAACAAATATTTAGAAAGAGTTAAAAGCATCAACAATTTAGCACTGCTTCCTAAAAGCTGGATTTCTCAATTACAAAAATAGAAAAGTTGTCATAACAGTGATACAAAAATTAATTGATACAGCAGGTTACACTGTAAATGTAAATGCTTACAAAGTCATTGATGCTTACACTTCAACAGTCTGTGAGAGCATGCATTCTCAACATTTGTTACACCCCAAATTCACTTTGATTCCCCATGCTGGAGTTTCTTCCAAAGGAAGGTTAAAGTGTTATTGCAAACTGGCTAGAGACTACAACAACAAGGCAGTGTTATTTGCAAAACTGCATTGCGTATTTACTGTAGATTTTGTTACCATATAAGCAAATTTTGTTGATGATATGTGGCTTAAAGAAGCTTTTGTCATTTTATTCTACCTTTTAACCAAAGATAATTTTTTATATTAATATCACTGTAATTAGTGATATACTGAATGGACTCATGTAAAAACTACACTTCATAAATAATTGTTTTAAAAGTAAAATTATTTTACCCTCTCTCCCTCTCCCTCTCTCCCTCCCCCCTCTCTCCCT